AAATCGCCCGGGGGTCGGGAGTTGGGGAAGCGCGCAGGGAGTCGCGCGGGGGTTGGGGGTCGGGGAATCGCCTGGGGAGTTGCGCAGGGGTCGGGAGTCGGGAATGGGAGGTCGAAGGATGGGGACGTTGAAGAAGAAGAAGAGGAGGAAGAAAGGGACTGTCGGCAACGGGGGATAAAGAGGGGGAGGGGAAGGAAGGGATGATGACGACGACGATGATAAGGAGAAAGAAGAAATGAGGGGGAGAAGAAAGGAAAAAAAAAGGGAAAAAGAAAGAGAAAAGATAAATTGTCGGGGACTCACCTGGGCGTCGGTGATGGCAGCGGCGGTGGTGACGATGACGTGGCAGCGAGGACGAGGCAACGATAAAGATGACGTGGCAGCGACGCTGAAGATGGTGACGATGACTACATGGCGGCGCCAGAGCAGGAAGGGAGGGAGGGCCGTTTGCCGCTCCGATACCAATGTGACGGTGTCGGGCGGCTGTCCACCAGCCGAGAGGTTGCCTCCCCGAACAAAAGGTTTTATCTTTGCATGTTTCATTTGTTTTCACCTGTTTTCATGAATGTATGTGTGGCTGAGGTTTTTTTTTGAGGGATCTTGGGTTTTTTTTTTTCGCCCTTGCTAGCCCTCGGGCAAGCAGGAATTGAGGCGGTTGACGAGAGGTTGTAAGCGGGGCCAGGAGCAGACCAAAAATCTGAGACTTCGATGCTACACACAAGGAATGAGGAAAGAGCGGCTGGCATGAGGACTATGGAGGAAAACCTTGACAAGAGAGGGTGCTGGAGGGGATCCGGTCGCCAAGTACAGACGGCTACGGGGCTCCTCCAAGGGGACCATGGGACTGTGACTGGGCCTGGGAGGACGACTACGACCTGCAGAAATGTGTAGGTAATCACAATAGCAGGATCTGCCCAGCACGCTACTATATGGTGGAATGATCAGTCGCAGGTCGGATTGGAACCACCCTTGATGCGGCCACCAAGACTCGATCAATGGCTATTCGTCCGGCTTAAGCACTACGGTGTCGTGTGAAAATCAGTATAATCATCTTCGAACGGTGTGCCGATCGGCGATGGATGGGCAACATCGGCAGGGTTAAAATGAAGCCAGCCTTTGGACGATCAACTTGAGGACTGTTCGAAGACCACTCGACTGACGAAAAGTTAAAGCTCTTGCGRCAAGGCGAGGTGGGACCCTCGTCARTACAGGTGCATGACAARCTCCTACAGGGGCCRACSGTACTGTGGGAGTGCTGCCTAACCAAGCGTAGCCTTAACCACTAAAAGGGGGGAGTTGGGAAAGATCTAGGTGGTCGGGAAGAAACCGCCAACGAGGATTCTTGATAACTGTTTTGAAGAAAGTGAGGGCGAGACGGGTGCTCTCCAGGATCGAGAAGCGAATCCCCCAGAGCGAAAGGGGATATGAACAGGCGGACCATTCCAAAGTCTGGACACCGTACCAGGTACGAAGGCTAGGGGAAGCAGAAAGGTGAAACCGCTGGCTAAAGCAAGGATGCACCGAAACCTGAAGTGGCACCAGATGCTTGCAGCAAACCAGGGGAAGGAAGGATCGGCCGACGCGTTCATTGGGAAGAGAGCACTAAACAACCGAGGGAAGGGAGGAGAGCGTTGTGCCCAGCCAAGTCGCGTTCATTTGGAAGAGAGCACAAAACAACTGAGGGAAGGGAGGAGAGCGTTGTGCCCAGCCAAGTCGCAGCAAACCAGGGGAAGGAGGGATCGTCCGACTCATTCATTAGGAAGGAGGAATGCACCGAAACCTGAAGTGGCACCAGAT